ATCTGTGGTGATCGTTTCATTCATTCTCATGACTTATATGCTTGTTCAGGCAGTGTTACTGTCTGGAGAAATAGGATGCTGGTCACCATTGGAGGTTTTAAGGGTTAATATCTGACTGAAGCATGGGTCGTTCAACGTTTATTTATCTAGACAAACATATATACACAAACGCTATTTAATCTTGAATTCAAAGAGTAGCATTTTTGTTGATTTCTTCGAGCTAACTCATTACAAAACCTCTAAAATCAAATAAATAACATAAAAAAGTATATTAAAAGAAACAAATGAATAAATAAAGGAATTAACAGAACCAATAAAAATAACACAAGATGGGGCTTCATATTGAAAATTTCCAACTTACAAAGCCAGCACGCTTGTTTCTACATGATCTGCCACCATCAAAATCCCTTATTACTTTTATTGTTTTAGTAAACCGCGAAAGGTATACCGCCTATTATTTCTACAGAGGAGGGTACGGCGGACGTCACTAGTACAGAACAATACCGTGTTTGTTTTTCTCGCTTCCATTGAAAAGCGGAAATAACTTTTTAATTTCGGATCAATGTCTGTCCAGTCATCACATGTGACAACAAACCACGCTGTTAGACAGCATTTCAGCAGTAAAGCTGGTAAAGGGAAATTGTCAGTCAATTCGCTTTCAGTTTATGCAAAACAGTCTACCTCAGTCGCCCCTAATTTAATTGCTCAACCACTGTCATTGAGGCAAACAGCTAAAACGTTGTACGGTGGAACCACGATATAACGAACCGCTATATAACGAAGTCCTCGGTAAAACAAACAATTTTCCCTACCCTAGTTGTAGTAAAATATATGCCGCAAAAAGAACCTCGATATAACGAAACGTCGTTGTTGCCAGTCCCTTGGCCCTTCGTTTTATCTAGGTTCCAATGTAATCGTTGTGTGTCGGCACGTTTCGACACGTTATTTTACTGTAGACTACTGTAACTTGCAAAAAACTAATTGGAACTAGGAGACGGTATAGGGTGTCGACGGCTTATAGATCTGGCCTCGGTTTTTCAAAGGCTGGATAGCGCTATCCACCGTTTGAACAACCTGGGCCTGGCCTTAAAGGCCTGGAAAGGTTTTTTAAATTCTTGATTTACTTCCTTGGCAATTCCGTACCCCAGCAAAAATAGCGTCAATTTAAATCGAATAACGTTATCCGGCATACAATAAAAATGTTTTCGTATGTTTCCCGGCATAGTAAATCGAACGTTCGAAAATCGAACTCAGTCGAACTCAATCGAACTCAATCCGTGGATTGAGTTCGATTGAGTTCGGCAATCGAACGAAATCGAACACCACACTTTCAGTGAGTTCGATTTCCGAACAAATCGAACTCAATCGAACACAATTAAATGGATTTCGTTCAACTGGCTCTGGTGAACCTATACAAAGCAAGCCCAAAGTAAGCCCGTCAAAGCAAGTTTTTCTTGCGCTTTTTTTACTATTTATTCAATAACACAAACCCCATTTATAAACTGTCCACGGCAGTTAAGAGAACAGAACAGAACAAACCCTGAAAACTTCGCCATCCTTGACGTCAAAGCGGCATTCCTGGTAGCCTTTGACTATACATTTGAAGCTTACGATCCACAACGCATCTGAAGCCATTTCTGCGGAATTTCTTCGTTTACGAAAAACACGTGCGCTACACTCAGGGCTGAAGTAACTCGAGCTTCTAAGATCTGGTAATGGATTTTCAACGTCTGTTTTACATAAATCACGAGTTCGAAAATCAAACGTTCGATTGGGTTCGATTGATTTTTTTTCTTTTCGGTGAGTTCGATTTCGTTCGATTGCCGAGTTCGATTGAAATTTAGTTCGATTGGGTTCGATTTACTATGCCGGGATGTTTGCCCTAAGTTTTCGAATTCAACTTGCTCTTGTAGATCTGGCTTTAGGAATTACAAAATAATAAACAATCTAAATCTAAACCGGTAGTTCAGAAGTAATATCCTTGGTTAACTAATTTTTTTCATTGGGCTGACACTCAGTTCTTACACTCACCGTCAGTGTTTGACATACCTACATTATGTTAGATGTACCTATACAGACCTGAGTAGAGTTGTTCGACACGGATTACGGAGTGAAATCCTGGGCTAGTTACTAAGACAACCAGAGGCCCAGTTACCGGTAAAAAGAAAGCAGGATTAGAAGTCATCAAAATTCGAAAAACTCGGCCCAGGATTTGTAGCGGTTGTCTGTAATTCGCAGCTTATACTCAGATTGCAATTTTTCGCCTGATAATACATGCCTTAATTTAAGAGAGTAAAGTCGAATAGAAAGATATAGTTTTATCAGCACGAAGTGAGTGCTAATCGTGAAGTCGTAAAGATTCAAGGGAGGATGTAACCACACCCTCTCTAGAATGATCGGATTTTTTTTTGTTTGGGGCAACGAAGCAAGATACCAAAGGCTGCCAAGGTACCCTGGCTTCAAAGATCCGTTCTGGAGGAAAAAAAGTAAGATCAAATAGACAGCTTCCTTTGTTGAGTCAAACAAGAGGAAAACAACACAAAATTATGGCAGTTTTCGCTCGGAATATTTTCTGTAGGTGCCGCTTTCAGTTATCAGCTTCTCAATAAAAAGAGGTCTATTTTATTATTAAAAGAATGATTAAGTACTGAAGACCTAGCAACACACATTTAGTCATCCTTAAAAGTTCAGTTCCTTAAATCACACTACTGTACCAAATGCAGGGTCTGAATATCTCTCCATAGCACAATGCCATTCTTTCTTGGCGATTACTTCCATTCCTGAGTGGAACCAAAAGTTATTCATTCATAAAATATACTTTTAGGGGCTGAAACCGCGAATGAAAGTTAAGTCTCAAGTGACTGGCGTTTCATTTTATGAATATCGAGAAGAACTGTCCATGAGGAATTTACCCTCTGTAACGATTGCTCTTCTTTTCAATTAACACACGAGCGTTCGAAAAGGAAGAAAAAAATCACCAGACTATGGTAGCAGCAGGAGTCTGGTAGCAGTGACCACCCGGTGGACAACACCGCTTCGTAAGGAAGTGCGTCCAATGCATTTAAACAGTTTGTATTGTTTGCTGTCGCTCTTATCCTGAATATAAACACACACGCCGTGGCTTTTAAAAACAGATTACCGCCTCAACTGGTGACTCTTAAGGGACATTTTAGTTCAGCACACATAGTCAGTTTAGGAGCTTATACTGCAGGAAGAAAGCTTTACCTCTACCATTTTGTAAAGTGTTTCTAGTTAATTAAAAAATCTTTGTTAGCTTTTCTCGAGATTAATAACTAATTAGCAAACCATAGAGCAAGCCGACGAACAACATGGATAGGCCTTAAGTATTTGACGAATATAATTTTCTGGGCAGTGAGAAGATTAGAAGGTGTACTAAATCGAACAATTGCTGTTTCCTTAAGCTATGAACAGGCTCAAAGCTGACTAACGCTGGAGCTAGCTACTGTCCTGACGCGATTGACGTAATAGGAAAAAATAAAGCAAAAACTGTTCCTTGTAAACATTACCCGCTCTGTCGGTAGAGGAACTTGCTCAGCAAATAATGAATATTAACAAGTTTTCGGCGTAAAAAAATATTTTCACCAAAATACATTTAAAGCTGCTTTTACCGAAAACGTTCTGATGTGATGTGTGCTAAAGCGATACCGAATCCTAGTTCCATGTCCTCTATTGTAAGTGATACCCAAGTATCAAATAACATTTTTAAACTCACATTTTGCATGAACTCATGAACAATTTTAGTTCGCGAATTTTTTGCACAACGAAAGGCTATTGTAAATGTAATAAAACGACAAAACTACATCAATGGAACAATTCTGCGAAAGGTGCTAAGGCCGAATTTAATAAACTGTTCATTGTAGACAGCACAAAGCGATATGTTTACTCTTCACTGTCTTTTATAACGAATTAATCGATACATGGCCTTTAATAAAGTTTTGACTTCACGAAAATTTTGCCTTTGTGTGTTAAACAAACATTCAAAAATCTAATAAGAAATAAATTTGTACCAGGCAACGCCGTGATTTAGAAATGCGGAGAAAAAATTCTCGACACTGTTTTTAAAGAGCTAATTCTAGATTCTGTTCTGCTTATATTAGATCGACACTTGGCTGTAACTAAAATGTTTGACAACGGCCTAAAGGCACTTGAATTTACAATTGCTTGCAAGACAAGAGTGACAGAAAAAAGCTCCTTGCTAGCTCAAAGTCAAACGGTTTACAAATCAAATCACAGTTCGCCTAATTACAGCTCGATAGTGGCCATGAAAGCGAATTAGTTCGACAATGAAGCACTTGAATAAAATTTAATCAACGAATTCTTGTCAAGTTGTTTTGCCTGTTCGCGCTAGCACAGTCAAGTCTATTTACACATTATTAGGTATACGATACTTTATTAAGTAAAATACAGACATGCTCTTTCGTCCAATAGCGCGCCTTGTCAAAAACTAGAAAAATCTTTCCGAACAACGATCGCTTTTTTTAACTGTCTTACGTGCCCGATGGTCGCAGTTACTCAAACTGAAACGAGATTTTTCGAGGTTTCGTGGTTGCTTCGCCTGTTTTCGCCGAGATGTGAATGAAATTGCGCGCCGGATAATTAGTCAACGGCACCTTACAAAGAGTCGGCGCCCCAGACCGCAATTGACATTTGCGAAGTATTTTTCAAACTAAACAATTGAAAGCGTTAAAATGTAATTAATATAGATATGAGTTTATTTATAATAAAGCTGGACTGTGATTGGCTGACAGTTCTTTGCAGCCTCCACGTACAGTTTGTAAAGAAAGTCAGTGACGCAGAAAGTCTCATACCCAATTTGGACGAATGCCGGTTGGATCGCAGCCGAACCTATAACATTCTAGATAACTCCTACAATCAAGCCCCACCAAAGGCCCTGCTTAGCGCCTTGGGCGACTCACTTCAAGTTCCCTTTAGCTACCACAAGAAGTCTTCTTGCAGAGAAATTTCAGAGCCTAAGAAAAATGAGTTCACCAAGGGATTCGCCGGAATTGCCAGCATACGACGTTAACAACAATCAGCCAAGCAAAGACTTGTCAGACAAGTGCTGCACGGACTCTATACAACGTAAGATTTTCCTCTAGGGAGGAAGAAACGTAGATTACTCTCCAGGCTTCTAAATAACTAAGTTCTAATTAGTTCAGGATTTCTCAGGGATTAAGTGTTAATCTTGCCTGAAACAACAATATGAGTTCTTACTTCTCCTCACAACTGAAAGTGCGAACGTGTCTTTCGACGCGCAATATACACACTAAAGGAACATTCCAGGAAGAAGGGGCTGTACGCTCTTTCTTGCTCATTGTATACTTATGCTGCACTTATTACCGCCGGAAGATGCTAATCATTCGATGAACGCTGTTTACGTTTTCTTCAACAGAGAGCACGTCTGTAGATGGAGAAAGCGTGAAACCGAAACGAAAGCAGAGAAGACAGCGAACGCACTTCACGTCCTATCAGCTGCAAGAGATGGAGGCGATGTTCGCCAGAAATCGGTATCCAGATATGGCTGTACGAGAAGATATTGCGCTGTGGACAAGCCTAACAGAAGCGAGAGTAAGGGTAGGTAGACAAACAGTCTATGCGGATCCTGGACCCGCGTTCCCAAGGGCGAAGTCCCAGTAGCTTGGTTGGTTGGTGTTAAATAATTGAAATGCAGGCATGGAAGTTGAACGGTTGCTTTTTGCGCGATATTCGGCAAAATCCCACAGACCTTTGCTAGCAACCTGTATATAAACTCCATCAATGAACAAAGAAGTCGCGTTTTATTATCGCTAAGCTTACAAGGAACATGCCATGTTTGTTTGCATTAAAACAAGCGCCACTTAAGTTTTGCATTTTGAGTAGGGAATGAAAAAATGGCGAGCAAGCTGCTTGTGCTTGTACTCGACGCGTAAATTATTAACCATACCACAGAATAGCCTGGACCATATTCAAACTAATGGTAACTTCCATTAACGAAATCTTAATCATAGCTTGCGCTCGGTTTCTTTGACATCCAAAAATTTTTCATCGCGAAGAAAAACTAGCAAATTGGGATTAGAATCACTTTAAAGACACGAATATCGTCAAGATGTTTGCTTTTTTAATGCATTTCTTCAAGTTGTATTTCCGTGCAATTATATTGTTTACCGCAGGATTCGCCAAACCGTTTCAGAACCACCTGGCAGTAACAAATCTGCCCGCCTTCGCTTTTCTGGCCAGTTAGCTTTGGAAATTGCAAACGTAGCTCGAAAAGGTTAAAGTGTCACGCTTAAACGCGACGTCTTTTTAAGCCTTTTTGTCCCGTTAAACCTTCGTACCACCTAGATGATAGAACTGGAAGGCTTTCGGTGTTAACACCTTTGCAAATACCTGAATACCAACTGTACCTGTATTGTCGCGATTAGCGAGGACAGGTGAATTTCTCAAATGGCCATAGAAATCGACGAAGAATCAATGTGAAATATACATTTGTCTAAGAACGGCAACGGAGAAATATAGAAAATCCATCGATGTGGTTTAGTGTTCTTTTAGAAATATTGGGAGACGTTTACAGTTCGATCCGTTCTCTTTGTGAAAACAGCCCAATTACAAAATCAAACGTGTGAAAAAGACTTGGTGGAACTCATTTCACTTTTGACACTTCAATTCGAAGGATAAAAGTGTGGACTTAACAAGGCTTTCCGAAAACAGTGACTCGTCGACATTTTAGTCTGCTTTTATTGCACAGCACTTTGATTTTAATATCTGTGACCGCTTTCAAAAAATGTTCACGAACCCGTCAATACTTGGTTTTCAGCAAGAAGAGACGCTTGTTTTTTAAGTAAAATATTAAATAAATGTGAAACCTTTGTGTTTGTATCTCATTTTATTAAAAGCGAGTTTCACAAAACCCTTACTACAATTTATCAACACATTAAAGCAAATTGCGCATTACATTTCTAAGCTAATGTGTCCGTACATTAATGTACATGCAAAGAAACAATGGTAAAGAAAAAACAACAGTGTTGACATAAACTTTTTTATTTCAGGTTTGGTTCAAAAATCGCCGTGCAAAATGGCGAAAGAAGGAGAAGAACAACCCGACAAATTTCCCCTGTCAAGATAAAAGCAGCGGAATGGTTCAAGGCGTTAACGGAATCATTCAAGGCGTTAACGCATTCTTCGAAGGAACCAGCTCCATTCGCTACGATACAAGCTCAGACACACCACCGTCGGTCTATCCCAATTACAGCACAAACTACTGGAGCAAAGGAGCGTCAAGCATAGGCTACAGTTCTTTACAGCAGTCAAGTAGCAGTCTGGGATATAATTCGTTCAGCCAAATACCTCAGCCGTGTCCGGTTCCACCGCAAATATCAAGCTCCTTGAGTCCGTTCTCGACTCCCATGTCAAGCGATAATGGATCTTCATACGCCGCTAGTTCTTCTAGTGTACCGAGCGTGCCGTGCGGCTATCCGCCAGCTTATGGGTATCAAGAACAGGGCTCGGTATATTTTAAAGGTAAAAGTTCCTCTGTGAACCATCATCCGAACTATTCTCAGTCGACGTACAGTTCCTTCCCGTACGGGATGGCCGAAATCCCGATAAATATTTAGAACAAAGCAAGAACCGCCAAGAATGAAACCGACGAGCTCGTCTGATTGATTGCACGTAGATTATGAAATTTAAAACATTTCAGTTGTTTAAAGTGATTTTCAAATGACAAGCGATTCATAGCCAGAAGAAAGATTTTTTAAAAAACATTTTAATGGTTAAAAACCGTCATGCCAAGAGAACTAAACTAATTAAACAGCGAAAACAATTCTCTTGGAATTAATACATCAGTCCAGTTGAGGTTTCCAAGGGCGTTTCAGTTAATGTTGAATAGAAATTGTTTGCAAAGTTTAAGCTTGGTGAAATTAGATCTATTAAAGTAGTTTATCGATAGATTTCTGTGAACAAGGTGTCTAAAGTAGTAGAGATTATAAAAATGCGTAGATTTGCTTGAATGTTTTCCTTGGATAGAGTTAAAATTGCACAAGTATTCTGTGTTGTAGACGCAACTTTATCTTATGCTTCAGCGACATTCAAATTTTTATTGTTCTAGGTAGACTCTTAGCGCATATTCTTAGAAGAAGGAAACGAATAGTTTTCGTGTATTTGCTCAAGTTAATGCGTCTAAATCTATCAACTCATTGACCTAAGAACGTTTTGATAGTGGTTATAAGCGTTCCCTAATAATGGTTTTGTTCGGTCCCGTGTAGTTCTCGCTTCCTAATCCATACTACATTGACTAAGTTATTAAGGTAATATCAAACCATTCTTGTATAAGACGATGAGCTGTTGAAAAGTGCTAACTAAAATGAATAAGTCTTTCCTTTTTAATCTTAGCTGTGAGAAGTCACAACTCGCACGCGTTTGCCAGCGACACGCCCGTTAGTTTGTTGTAACAGACACTTTAGGAAAGCGCGCGTTAAAGTTTAATACCAGATTTCGCAAGATGAACTGATTTAAATTCATACAAGGACAACTGCAAAATATGCGACAACATTTTAATGCAATCTCTAGAGGCCTGGTTGTTTTACCCTGGGAATTTTCAGCTGTATTTAAATTTGTACAGTCAATAAAACACTATATGTTGTGCATAGTCTTTGTGTGGTTAATATACACTCTTTTCACAGGCTAGAACAAAAGAAAGAGTCTTATTGTGTAAGTGTTTTCAGCACTTTAAGAAGCCGCATATCTTTTCGACTTAGGAAGCTACTCAACATCTTTTTATACCTTGCCTTCAGAAGAAGAGAAATCGTACAAAAACAAGGTTATTTTTGTTTCTGTTTGCTTGAAACCATTAAGAACGTGGAAACGCCAGGATGAAATATGAAAAACGAAAATGCAAATGAAGACAGAAACCTATTGAAAATAGCTGTTTTCAATTCTATTAACTATGAATGTCAAAAAGCGATAAATATGCGTTCTTTGCCGGACGGATACCGCTAAATAGGACCATTACTTTGATGTACCTGATAAAATAAGATAAATATATCAAAGCTGTCCACAAAACGTCTTTTTCCGAGTAGCTTAATTGCCTTCTTTCGGTGAAGGTGTATTTTGCACGAAATCGACTTTTGTTGTCCCAAAAGAGACGAAAGGACGGTTTGTTTAATATTCCGCCGACATCATTCAATTAACTAAAATAAGACTGTCTCGCTTTTCCTCTTGGCTAAACAAGAACAAAACTATAGACCTGTAAAAAGAAAGATAATATGGATTCGTTCGCAACTCGGCGCTTGGAAACCATCTTTGTTTACTGAACATAACCTGACAGGATCGAAAAGTTATCAAACTTTGGAATCTTCGGTTAATTTGGGGCGCCAATTTCCAGGAAGGGTTGACAGCAGAGAGCGCTGACTTCCCGTTGCTTCTTCAAACCGGTGATACAACCATTTTCAATCGTATCGGATGCTCAAAAAATATTAGCAGCCACAATTGTTGACGATATCAGTTTGAGACAAAGTTTATGTTCATGAGGTTTTTTTTTCGCTCCCAAAGTGGTCTTTCCTTATTTTTCGTACTTGCTTAATTGCAACGCAGTTCTAATGCACTAGAAATTTTCGTTAGATGCTACTACAATGGTCTGCAAGGATTCTACATCTGCTTGAGTATTGATAGCAGCTTTTTTTTGATCACACATTTGTAAATCGCTTTTCACATAACCCATGCAAATTTGATTCATAATAGAGTTGAATTTTCCCTTTACACGTACGGTGTCAAAAGAAATAAATAGATAAATAAGAATCGCTGTTGAGCGTTCCGAATTTAAGCCACAAACTTGTTATCTTCTTCTTCTATCCAATGAAATTATCATGTATTTCTTAGCTTTGATTAATTTTATTTTTTATCCAAAACGAAAAAAAGGCAAGTTGCGAAATCCCTATTAATTACAATTAGAAAAGAACTGCTTTTCCTTGGGTTAAATTCTACGATTATTTTAAATCATCAGTTTCATAAACTTTTATCAAGAGCTTTCCTGCTATAAACCGGGTAGTTTTTAAGTCCATCATATTTATTTTTTTGTATTAATTGTTTTGTTTACCTTTAATATTTTCTCTTTTAAGGCAGTACGTAACTGGATGTGCAAAGAGTTTCAACTGGAAAAAACGTTGCTAGTCCTCTACAAATTTCCTTCATTATTATTTTTTATTGTTTTAATCTTAAATTTATTACACTCAAAACTAAATTCACAGCATTTTTTCTGCCCAGAACAGAAAGATTATGTAGTTAAAGAACGGAATCGAAAGAGTTTTTCCTTTTAAATAAACAAGCATAATTTATATAATTTGACACAGAATGTATTGCATGGTGATACTTTTCTTTATAAGTTAAATCGAAAAGTAAGCAAAACAAATATGAGTACTGTTTAACATCTAAATCATGTGATTACGTCCACCTGAAAATTTTATTTAGCGTGGCGTTTATGAAAACTTCACTTTTTACTCGAGAATATTGTGTATTTTTCGAGAAGTTAAACAATAACCGTCTTATTTTTTGTAGGCTGTAAATGAAATAATAAATGCTAATGTGGTCGGAAATGGTATTCAGCAAAGACTTGCGTATTCAATGCACAATGATACTATTAAAAAAAGTAATGCACTGTGGTAATGTGTTCTCAAGCAGCTGAGTTTTTCCGAAAAGAACAGTTTCAATGTAGATAAAGTCAGAACAATCTTGCGACTTTGTCGGTGTAGCTTTACTTGACTTAGAGTTAATTAACTGGACGCCGACCAAACCATGATGAATTAATAACTTGTTTAAATAAAAGCATTCGCAGAAATTCATTTTCCAGTAACTCAAAGCACAGTTAAAATACATTATCTGGATATTTTTGCCATTAAAAGGGATAAAATAAATACATCTATTGCTCAAAAGAAAAATATAGACTGATATATATTTTATTTCAAACATTTGCGCCTCTGCATTTTACGCAGACATTTGCTGCTATGTCTTTGTGGTTACCAGACAAATCCAGAGACTAGTAATAAATCATTCGTTTGCAGGCTGCCTGGAAAGACTTTTAAAAGAGCTTTTGGGAACACGCAAAAGTGATACCAATCGAACTTGAACTTTTCTAGCTAAATCAAAATCATACGCAATTACTTTGCGATCAGTCTGCTTCAGTTGCTTTTCCTCGCCTTGCCTAATGCTATGCCAGGTTTTTCTTTTCTTTTTTTTTTGCAGCCAATGCTAGATTACTGGTTACAGTGCCTCTATGAAATCATTTCTTATTGTTTGGCTTGTACGTTTATGTTCAACAACACTAAAATGTTAGCTGTCTATTTAAAACGATCGACATTTTCGTGAGTGTGTAAACAAACCAAGAATTAACAGCTTGGTAAACAATCGTAAAATGATTTTAATGACTGAATTATGGTAGAATTTTACTAAGTACCGGATTTCCACGCACTGCCCATCAAACCGAACGATCGTGAAGAAGTAAACTGTTATTTTCAAAGTCTTTGAAAATCATTTGGATGCAGAAAGTAGAAGCGACACCAGTAGACCCGGTTTGAACGGCGAACTTCATATATGACGCACCAAATAATGCCTATTAACAATGGGTTCATCACATGTGAAGTTCGACCAACTAGGCGAAGATTTGGTAATTTGTATAATCAAGATGAACTGTGACTTGAATTCTTTTTTTATCAGCTGACACCAGCCTTATTATTTGGACTTTACAACTGTAAGAGAGAATCAAAATATATAACAATCAGAGAATTTAAATATTGCAGTGATGCTTAAAAGTGGCCTTTCCAATTACCATCTTATGCACATAGCAGAGAGGAAATCGGGCTTTGTAAAAGGCCGATCAATATCTAGATAAGAGAAAAAAACATACGTGATCTCATCGTTATGCCTGGTAATTGATAGGTATTTTTTTCAACATGTTAACCAGCAAATATCTTTAAGGAAGAAATTTTAACCTAATAAATCGTGAATAAAAAAGTTTTGATTGGAATGCCGGGGTGAATTATTACTTCTCTGCTTCAAAACGGCAAGCTCAAGTATCATTCAGCGTGTTTTTGATTACGTGCAAGAAGATCGAAGTTTCATTGTTCACTTTTAGCCAACGCAGTCAATTGTTGGCGAAACATCTTTTGAAACACACAGATGGTTTGGTACAAAGGAGATTTCATTGCTTTTTGGTCCAGTTAATCAAGCTTATCGCTTTAATTTATCGCACGAAAGATTTCTGTTTTGTACACAGGAATATTTAGAAAGTAACGACAACCAATAAAAAAAAATCCGTAAACCTTTCAAAGCTTAACAAACTTAAAAGCGTACTGCTGGAATGTTTTTTGGGGGTCAATAAATTTGCTTTTTCTGTTCATTGAATTAATTTATTGATACACCAAAAAGACACTGCGTTCCGTGATGCAATAGATTGTCTGCAGGTTTTATGGTTTCAGTTCCTAAAACCACCATTCTTATCTCGATGGCTGAAGAACATGTTTTTCTTAGCCTTTTTGCATGGTAAGTTGTCTTTTTTACTCGAACGTTTTACCTGACAAAAACTAAACTAATGGGTGACCTCCTTTCTAGTTCCATTACATCCTAATAAGCTTTTCCTAACACGTCCGGAAAAAAAAAAATCAAGTGTTGTATAGTTCTGTTGCTGCGGCAACCTCAAAACAGCTCCGGTAAGCAGTAACAAAAACGAATAGTAAAGGCAATTAAGTTCAAAAGCAATCATTTCGGGCCGACTACAAGAGAGATATTTATATTTTATCTTAGATTAAAAAAAGCTTACACCGTTCTTATCACCGCCGGTTGCATGCTGAAGACAAAAATAGAGCTAATGGCGGAAGTAGCCAAGTATTTTCTTATATATGTTTTTTGTATGTGTACCAACGTGTTAAATGATGTATCCGCGTACACTCCTATTAAACTGTGTTGGAAGAGCTACAATGCCTTGAGTGCCGTTTAGACGATAGCTCCAAGATAGTCGGAAAGCGGATCGAGAAGAGTTGCTCGAAAACCGCGGGGGGCTTGGGAGAGAAAGAGAAGAGGAGCTTGTAAGCATTGTTTTCAATATTTTATTCCGGTTTACCAGTTCCTGGTGCACTCGATGATTGGTCGATCGATTTTGACAGTTTACGTCAACACTTACGTTAATCACGTGGTTTGTTCAACGCAGAGTCAAACAAACGTGGCGGGCGTGTGAAACCCTCCTACAACTGCACATTTTGACACGACAAATAGTTTTCCTGGAAGTGGGCTGAGGCATTTATAAAATATGCTTGCAGACTCTCCCCTTCCCTCTTACCGCCGTTTTTCGTTGCTCGCCCCCGCTTTTTTCTCGACGGCACTGACCGTAGCCTCCCCGCAGACGTCCTTTGGGGAGAAATGAATGCGTGACAAACGAACCCCAAAGGACGTCTGCGGGGAGGCTACACTGACCGAGGACATGGCACAGGCTACGTTTGAATTCAATTATGAAAACGAGGCACAATCTTTCCATACTCCCCAAGCATTGTTCACGAGTTTAATGGAGGACAAACCAAGGCTGCCTGACAGTCCTTCAGCAATCACCCAAAAATATATTCCTTCCAAAAAGTGATGATAAATGTCTCAGTTTTCTTTGAAAACTGAACCTATAGATTACCCAAAACGGGTGCTATTTCAAGTTCCTAGTTTGTGAGGTGCCTTATTGTTACTTATTTCACCAAAATGAAAAAAATAGATATATTCTTTCCGCGATTGGCAGAAAATTTGTCTCAAAGGAAACTAAATTTCGCAAGTATGCCAATCAATCGCAATTATCCCTACTTTTAGTTATTCCTTGCGGTTACAACGAGACGTAATTTTTCGATGACATCTATGAAATCAATGAGTAATCAATAGGTAATCGACGGGTATTGATTTTTAGTATTGATTACTGCCGAAGATGAATGAGTAATCATTGAATAATCTATAGGCCACAATATTTTCAGTCATCGATTAGTAACGAATAACAGTGAATGGTCATCGATACAGTAACACAACCCCCCTGGGAGGAGGGGATACTTCCTAGTAATAGGCTAATGGGATGTGCCGCTGGATGGGGTCGCATTTTGACGGCTGGATTGACTATAAAGGGGTTGCATTTTCATTGGAGTTGCTAGAATGGGATCCCAAATTTTCGGAATTGGGGGGTCAGGTAGGTAGGGATATAAAAATGAGTGTTGGCTTAGGGAGGGGTAGGTGGACAGTTTTCCAGGAACACATAATGATCAAGATTTTTACTTCATTAATGTAGTGACCGAGGAACGCTGACATTACAGTGAGTCTCTTATAACGTTGACCGCTGACTTCATGGTTCGTGATCACGATTTAGGTATCGAGTTTCAGAAGAAGCACATGGCAACCTCCTCCTCAGGGCGCTTTTCCCTTCAAAGCCAAGGAAAAGCGCCCTGGGGACGAGGTTGAGCACATGGTTCTGTTGGAGTTCAGCTTTATTCATGCTTGCTAAGAAGGTTTTTCTTCAGTTATTAGCGGAAAAGGCACGAAAAAACTTGCGCGTATTGTTCAGGTTTCATTAAGCCTTTGCATTTGTTGTCATTCGACTTCTACTTCGTTTTACTTACTGAATATTTAAATGTATTATTTGGATTTCAGTGAATCGCTTGTTCTTATAATGAACCAAGTTTACAGTTCAGCCCATCTCAAATTTCACCTTGTTGGCGCTATTAGTAGTGAAAATAGGGTTCCTACAATCAAGTTTGACCAAAATGTCAATTCATTTCAGGATAACAGGGTTACTACGTTGGGATCGCGAAAATTACATTTTCCCCAAAAGTGTCTACGATGGGGTCTATATTTGGCCACAAAATAGACTAAAATGGGGTAGCGTTTCTGAGGGGCCAGCAGCACATACCCAGCAAAAATTAAGCCCAGTAACTCCCCGGGCACAATCCATACCAAATCCTTAGACTAAATGCCATCATAACGCATATGGTAGAGACAGCCCGCCCCGGTCAAATTCTGTTTGAGCACAAGGCAAGGTGGCTGGAGAGTTAGGTAGCAAAGCCCGAAGCAGTGAAACCCATAACACAAAGCAAGGACCGGAGGACCTTGTCGGGCCGGGAGGTCCGTGGTTATGCGCCCCATGAATATTTTGAAAATATCGGCTTCAAATATTTGCTTCTAGTGCATTTTGGGGCAGTGCCCTCAGTCCCTACTAGAAAGCTTTAAGATAAATCTACACAGGAGTCTGTTTTCAAATTCCAGTTTTTTTTTCCCCCAGTAGTTTTACTGGGAAAAGCAGAGATAACTAGGCAAGTACATGATAACTGAACAGAACAGAAAAACTTGCGACAACTCAGTTACGGAAATTAGTAATGGTAGATAATGTCACCTAAACTGAAGCACCAATTGACCTCCGCATCACGCACTGCTGACTGGCCAGGTCAAGGGGACCTGGTCAAAGTAAAGCATAATGCTAAAAAAGGATGGGGATTCGCTCTGTTCTTCATCGGCAGGGAGAAGAAGCATTCTGTGGAGCTGCCCTTCCTTACTTATTCTTGCATTTCTGCTTTTAGTATTCTATTATGTGCTACTTTATTTTGTTCAACAAGCACTGTAACCTGATATTTACTCCCTCGCCTGCAGGGAGCCGAGGAAATTATTCTTTTTTTCATACGTTTTGAAACTATAGCATCATCAGTTCCAGACACTAAAACCGGATCAAATATGTCAAAAGGTAACAAGACACCATTACTCTCTAAAGACTCAAAACGTTTGACGACGTTCTTAATCCATGAAGATATCAATGTACTTGCCCTAAATGCTAACAAGTTCATCCTCATCCTTTCTGGACATTTTCACTACTGTGACAAAGAATCCGATGCCACCAAAGTCCCGCTTTTCCAGGGAATCCAAGCAGCCCTTTCTGCTTTGATTGTTTCAAGCTGCGAGTCGGTGTGTGCAACGGCTGGCAGTATTGCTGAGCAATCGAACTTGCTCGCTTGAAAGGCTTCAGACAGGTCTGAGAAATTGCCAGGCTAGGATGTAAACAGTTCCTGGGAACTCGTTTTTTGTGATCTTCTGGAGAAATCCAAAGACTGCTCGAGCAAGACTTCTCAGTCTTCTTAAATATTCTTAAGAGCTTTACGGCAAAACCACATTTACTGAAATTCAGCAAGCGAAAACGGCACGCCTTTTTCTACCTTCTTGTGATGACGTTTGGTTGTTTTCTGTCACATTCTTTGCACTTTTCAAATTCTCTTAAGCGAATTCTCAAGCCACCGCCGTTGCTAGAGTGGTCAGTGGACAACCTCGTCCCCAGGGCGCTTTTCCAAAGCCAAGGAAAAGCGCCCTGAGGACGAGGTTGGACAGCGGAGAAGCTTCAACGAACTTGATAGGTGGAATCAAGGTTCAAAACACAGGACCACTTAGCGTCGTCTTGGTGGAAGAGAAGTTCCAGTCCCTAACCGTCAATCCCAGGAATATCGATGCAGAGAATGACGATAAAACTTTGAACATTGATAATCACGACGTCAGGAAAGCTGAGCAAATAAAATAACTAGGAGTATACATTGACGAGAATCTCAACTTTGCGGGTCATATTAGCGAGTTATGTACTAGAGCTAGCCAGCAACAGCGTTGCATAAGACGAGATTTGAAAGATTGAAACAGTTCTGTCAGGAGTATTATCACATGACCTATATACTTTGGGAAAACGAAAGATGCAAGTTGAAGAGGTCCATTGTAACAGCAAGTAATAGTAAAGTGGCCTTACAGGCTGTCCAGTGGTAGCACACTTATTACTGACGTGAAGTTGACTCAGAAAAGAAAATCAAATAACTAGTAAGCAGAGTGGTTTGGTGATGTTCCCTATTTTACTACTCAATTCGGAAGGGGACTCAGACTAGAAATGATCTTTTCTCCTGCAAATATCTAAATATGTTCATGATGTGTAAAATGCTTGCAATAACATTCCAGAGTTCCTTTGGGCTCCATTTTATCTAAAACTTGTTCTATTGAAAATCTTGATAGTGGCTTGTAAATAAAAATGATTAGGCATTCGTGCTTGTTGGCACGAGCCAGGTAAACAAAGCTAAAGCGGAGAAGCAGAGCGTCCGTGTGTCATCAGACAGTCAGATTAAGCAAGTGAAAACCTCTCTACTTGAAATACGAAGGGGAAGGTGATTGCAAAATACAGATTCATATAGGGAGGCTCCGACGGCAGGTGTACGATCTCCTACAAGCCTTTCATTTACTACAACCTTGGTAAAAACTTCTTGGGACACTTAAGGAAATTAGGTACAAAGACCCACTTTGCTAAATTAACTCATATTCTACCTCTAAAGAAGCTTGGGGATGTTGTTATAAGGGGCTATTTCTGCTGTCCCCCTGTCCCCCAAGCAGTGTTGATTGTGTCAACATTGCACCGGGGGAAAGCGGGGAGGGAAGGTGCCTCAATTTGACGAGCTATTGCGTTAGTGTCGCAAGAGTTTTGACCAGGGTTGTAGTTCTTATACTCTAAGTAAATAAAGAGATATTTTGCACTCGTTATACAATGAACCTTCTGTTATGAAACTAATTCTCTATGCATGAAAGATGTCACAAATCAAGAAGTGGGAGATACAAAATGTTGTGGCAATAAATCTGACTTTTTTTCTGATACGCAAAAGAAAAATATTATACAAATCTCTTGCAAGAGTAGGTCTTACATTGTGCCAAGGAAAATGTGTAAGAACTTGGAGGTAATACGAGTTGCGCTTTACAGGGTGCGCAATTTCTACTCAAGTATCGTAATTTGTACGGTCATATTAATAAAACACGAAATAATGAATCTTTTTGCATATTCATATGAAACTAAGTGAAAAAGGCACCTGAACTATCTCGTATAACCTGTTCACGCTTCCATTTGTGTACTAATAAGAGCTTATTAAAAGCTTGGGAATAAAACGTTCTATGAATTGAACGCAGACTCAACGTATGATGGATTTCATTTGCTCTGTGCTAAGATAAACAGACGCCACTTTCGCAGAATCGTTGTTTTTAGGCGCGTCTTTTCCTTCATTTTATTAGGAATTAAGTAAGTGACGTTATGTCAGTATCATGATTTACAAGCTCATCATTAAAACATTAATTCCCTTTAAGATCGTTGTCGGTAAATATTTTATTGCATTGGCCATCAATCTGACTTCATTTGATAACTCAATAAATCTAGATTTAAATAGCCTAGGCCAATAACAACTGTACAGGATTCTTTTTTTGTTTTTTTACGCGTACGTTGTTGAACAAGGTAAAATAGACTCTCTAATATTAAGCGATGTCACCAACTTATTCCTCAACAAGCTTCAACATATAATATTCATAGATCAATAAACTGTTTCATTTAGCTTTCATACTTTTTTGTTGCACCCGAGGGCGCTAAGTTTCAAATACATTTTCATTGCCTTTATTAATTTAGTGAGTTGACTAAAAATCAACCCGCAAAGTTTGTCCCATCCTTTGAGACAATGGCTACTAAACCAAATTAGGAAGAGTTTTGAGCAGGTCGTAACTCTGAAAAAGTTTACCACTCTTTCCGAGTCAAAGAAACGTTGTTAAGATGTTGAGTTTAAATGTACAAAGACTTTCATTAAAGTTTGGCATAATTGCCGCTTAATCCTTTCAACTGGAACAATTTCCGATAGCGTTTAGAGTCACAATGTGTTGTAAGACATGTGCCCTTGTAGTTAAAGTCTTTGACTGTCATTTCGTGTGATAGTTAAAATAACAAGCTACAATAATACTGTAAACATGTCTTTTTTCTCTGGGGGGCTAATCCGTAGTCAATCCAATAACCGGGCAATGAACTCAAGGGAAGATTGAAAGCATAAGGCTATTTCAATATTACATAAGAACGACCAAAGATCAGCTACATAAAGTTATCAGTTACTTCTCCGGCTGGGACCAAGCTTAATTTTGGAAGAAGCCAGAAGTATTTAAACAACCTATAACTCGGTTCGGAAATTGTTCACTGAGAGCTTTCAGTGGATATAAACTCAGTTTCTGTCTTTGGTAGAAAAAAAAAACTGTTTTGGCCTGAGGAATTAAAAAAGTCCTCTAAAATGCTTCTCTTATCTACGACATTTTCCAACTGTTTCATGCCCTTTTGCGCGTAAATATCAAATTCTTCTACCTCCACGACTGCTCATGTAGATTCGAGTGGGCGTAAAGAAACAGTTCAGCTTTAATCTCGCCTTGCTTATTTTAAGTTAATCTTAGGATTTCATTAAGCTTTCGGCACATCTAGAGTGTAGAGTATTACTTTAATTCCGCTGTTTTGCATACTATCGTAGATGGCCATGCTACAAGACTTTCCAAGACAAAGTTGCAATGTTTTACAAGTAAATCTGATAGTTTTTTGAAATCAGACCACTAACGTTTTCTTTCAAATTAAAGCGTGCCAGCAACGACAAGGTAAGAATATCATAAACACTGTTAAACTACGATTCACTAGAGGAATTCTTCTACGAACATCATCATTTTTCTTTGACTTGCATTAAAAACTCAATCGGCCAACTTAAATTCAGTTGCAACCACGAAGACTTGTTACTCTTCATCGAGTCATTTATGACATAAACAGTGCATATATGTTCAACTACAAGGTATCGTGACAGTAATCACGAAAAAAAGCTGTGTAGTTCCACGCTAAGAAGTTTAAGAACAAATAAATTAATGTCGGTGACTTTGCTGTTAAGCCTTTTGTAAGTTTATCGGCTCCGCAGAGTTTGATAGACCACACCACAAGTTCAATGATGAAGGAAGCGGTGCCGGTCATTCCCCGTTTCCTTTCACCTGCTCGCATTTCCTAATAAGCTAGCGTACGTGTTTCGCTTTCTGTTTTTGATCTTTTACGTACAGAAACTCTTTAATCCAATGTACACCCGACAATGTTAAGAAAAGTGGACCCCACAAGAGTTACATACTATGTCTTGTTCACATAATTGACAAGATGAATTACAACGCTACCCGCAGATAACAATTCGCAACAGCTGATCGTGGCGATAATTCATAGATGGAATTTAATAATAACATAACATTATTAATAACAGCAAATACCGCGAATGAAAGAATTCTGAAACATATTAGGATTTTGCCAGCAACTGAAATTGACTTATACAAAATAGCTAGAGTCAAGATTTCTTTGTTAATAATTCGACAGTTACAAACTTTATAGGCCGAAGCAAATGTACTTTAGAACTGTAGCGGATTGAAAAGAATCAAAACTGGTTGTATGCCTTTTTAGTCTTAAAAAATGAGAAAGTTGCCTTAGGAACATTTGCTTGACTAATCGCTGTACAAATCAGTATCTTCATAAGGGACCGTTTACACAAACTCTTTCTTCAGCCTCTTTTCGTTTGCTTTAGCGCAACCGACTTTTTTTGTCTCTAAGAGGCTGTTTTTATGGAGGGGGCAAGATCCTAACACCGGGAAGATCAAAGGAGATGGAACAACTTTTTGCTAGGTTTACATGCAGAAACTGATTTTCGGCCCTTGTGATTACCTAGTAGAGGAGGAATTAAAGCTGGCGGGTGACAATGATAAACCGCATGCCTTTTGGGCCCTTCTGCCTTGTTAATAACTACCTTTCAGCAGCAGCTGGCTTTTCATCAGCTCATGGTAACGCTAAACAAAACTGTCGGCTATCATTGTCATGTTTACCAACTGAACGACCCGCCGCCATTTCTGGCTGGTTTTGTCCCTAGTACTAGGATCTTCCTAGCCTGTAAAGCAGTTAACATGGATACTAGAATCTTCCTCGTGCTAGGATGTAGCTTCCTATCTCTCAGCTAGGAAAAAGATCTTAGCGCAAGGGACAAGTACAACCCTTGCTTGTAAACTGAATACATATGACACTAGGATCCGCCTTATAGGATCTCACTGGTGATAGAACCTTCCTCCCTCCTTCTAAACAGCCCCTAAAAAGTGTTAGTTTGGCATAACTATTTCTCTAAACCCAGTTTCTCGTGGAAACGTGAGTGGCCAGCCCTCACACAGCGCGCGAAACTCTCGAAAAAAACATCGCACCTGTGGAACTATCGGTTTCTTTTTATTTTGTTCATGTGAGTCCTCAATACAGACTTAAGAAATAATAAAATTCAGGGCGTGAAACGTTTGAAAACAGAAAACTGTGTTTCACCACCTTATCAATTTTATTATATAGATTGGTGTAATACGAAGACGCCTTCAGTAGGGGTCCGATGATTTATTACACATTTAGGGTACAATGTATTATCGAAGTCCGCTTAAAGTGTACTTCTTCAGTTCACTTTTTGTAACAGTTAAACTATATCTAACCAAGAATTCACTTTCTCAAATGACTTCATGCCTTTGACGATTTGGATTTGTTACGACAACCTTTTTTCTCCCTCCATGGAAGGAAATATCGTGAGAGTCCTCACCGTACCATTAACACATATCTGCAAGAAATGCTACAATTTAGCATTTCAGCACAAGATTAAAATCTTTACCAGGGTTCTTTCTTTTTTGAGCTCTTCAAATTCCATGACTTTTTTTTCATGTCCT